GGCACCCGAGGCCCCGACCTCCGGCCGCGGGGTCCTCGCCCCTGCACGCTCATTCATTCGCAGATGCGCGCGGAGGCGCCACGCGGGTGGGGTCGGCCAAGCCCGAGACCCTTAGGCCGGCCAGGGCGGGAGGGAGGCCAGGCGGGGCCAGGGGTGCCCGCGGAGCCGGGCAGAGACAGCTGCACGCCAGGGGGTGCCTCGCCCAGCCGGGGCCCACTCTCCCGGGCCTCCCTGCCCAAGTTGACGAGGACCTCTCTTTCCCGAGGACTTTGGGGGCACCTGGTGGGGCTCTCACGTTATCCCGAGACCAGAGAGGGGCGGCCAGAGCCCAGGGCCACACAGGGCGCGCTGCCCATTCCTTCCCAAAGACCCATTCTTCTTGGTCCTGGAAGTGGAACTTGAAAGGGGTCCCCCAAAGCCCAGCTGAGCTGCCTTTTGTGACCCCGGTTCTCAGCCTCTGTCTGAGAGCATTTGCCTGCTTGGCGCCCTCCTTCCCCATAAGGTAGGGGGAGAAGTGCAGCCTCTGGGGAGGGGCGCCCCAGCACCTGGACTTGTTCCTGCCCCCCCCCACTAGCTGTGCGATGGTCTCAGTTTTGCCCCCGCGGTGGGCACAGGAGCCGCCCTGTCCCTGCCGGCAGGAGGGTGTGTTCTCCGCGGGGACGCCCAGCCCCTGCCCAGAGTGCCCGCCAGCCACCCCGCCTTCCCTCCCTCCCTTTGCCAGTGCCCCCCCCCCGGGAACACTGGGGATCGCCTCAGAACCCCTACTTCTTTTCCAGCGGTCTCCAGTCCTGCCAACGCCACCGCTGCCTTCTCCCTGGCGTGTGTCCTCTCTCTGCCCGGCTTCCCCCGCACGTCCCAGGGGCGTGCGGCCTTCCACACCCATAAAACCTGCTGGCTCCCTGTTCCTCCCACAGCCGGTCCTCCAGAGCGCTGGCCGCCTCCTCTCCCTGCCCTCTCTTGGCCGCCCCCTGCGGACATCACCTCTGGGAGGCTCCCCAGACCACCCCGCCCCGGCAGCCACGCCCCTGCTGGCTTGTGCCAGGGCTTCTGCAGTCTGAGGGCCACGTCTCGGGCCTGCGAGGACTGCGCTAGTGAGGTTGGGGACCCTCCCCGTGGCCTGGAGCCCCCCAGCTCAGCTTCTGCTGGTCTGGACGGCCCTGTCGTGCACGGCGGGTGTCCAGGGTCTCTGGGACGCCCTGGAGCCGGCGCGCTCTGGACGGACGCACAGACGAGGCAGCCCAGGCATCTTGCAGGGGTGAGTGGTGAGTGGTACTGGGCGCCGCGAGGCCCGGGCCATGTGGGCCGGAAGGGGCTGGGCTATCTTGCTGGGGTGAGGCCCAGGCCTCCAGCTGGCGGGGAGCTCACAGCTATAACGCGCTCCCCCAAGGCCGAACGTGTGTGGCTCCCGCTTCCACGCTTACTGCTGCCCCGGCTGGAGGACGCTGCCCCGGGGGGCGCCAGTGTGTTGTGCGTGAGTGACGCTGCCCTTTGGCGTGGGGTTGGGGGTTCAGGCAGGGAGCCCCGAGGCAGTGATCCGCCTGCCTGCGAGTCCAGCCTGGTTAACAGGTGGGTTGGCCAGCGTGTCTGGCTGAACCCCTGAATGGCCCTCGTGGGCCTGGGGGTCCTCCCCGAGTCTGCCTGCCGCCTCTCCGTCCGGCCGCTCCCTTCCGTGTTCAGTTTCTCCCTCTCAAACCGCCATCCCGGCCGGGCACGTCGTCTGCAGGCCAGTGATCTGGCCCAGAGCACACTGCTCTCCAGCACCTCTTCCGGCTCAGGGGTGGGGCGGCGGGCTGGGTGCTGGCCCTGACCGCTGCCCACCCGCCAGCTGTCTGCCGGCATGACTGCCACGAGGGCTTCTGTTCCCGCCCCAACCTGTGCACCTGCGCGGGCAGGGAGCGGGCGCCCAGCTGCGAGGCAAGTGGAGGTGAGTGGGGGGCACAAGCTAAAGGCTGGCGGTCTGGTGCCAGCGGGGGGAGCACGGTGGCCCTGCGGAGGCCGGGCCGCGGGCGGGCCGGGCGCCGCCTCCCTGCGCATCTCCTCCTGTCCTCAGGGCCGGGGTGCAGTGTGAGCTGCATGAACGGGGGCAGCTGCCGAGGGGCGTCCTGCCTGTGCCCCAGAGGCTACACCGGCACCGTGTGTGGGCAGCGTGAGTACCCCACGCACGCCCGGGCCTGGGGCCGGGTCGCTGCTGCACATGCCCCCACCCACCGCCAGTCTTGGGTGGCCAGACCAGAGGGACAAGCCCAGTGGCTCGGCGTTGAGTCTGGCCCGATGGCGGGCGCCTGGGTGAAGACGGGCTTGCTGGTGCCTCCGTCCCACAGCCGCTGGGCGCCTCAGCCCACCCTCCCTCCCTTCACAGCTGTGTGCGACCACACCTGCCACCACGGGGGCCGCTGCATAGGGCCAAACCGCTGCGCCTGTGTGTATGGCTTCACGGGGCCTCAGTGTGAGAGAGGTACCAGGCTGGGGTGGGGGAGGCTGCGGCGAGGCAGGGGGCCGTGGGGGGCAGGAGGCGGGAGCCTCCGGGAGCCCCCGAGGTGTGCCAGGGTCCAGCTGGACTCCTCCCCGCTGTAAGGGACAGAGGAATCATCAGCTCCAGGGAGGGGGTCAGGAGGGCTTCCTGGAGGAGGGGGTAGGCGGACGTCGGTGAGACAGACAGTCCGCTCTTATCACTCCCCGCTCTAAACATGACTGGGCCAGGCGGAGCTGTGTGGCGACTCCCGACTGCCCTTGGGAAACTGTTACCAAAATGCAGACGTGGACATAAAACAATGTTTTGTGAGAACTTGGTTGTGAGGAGCGAGAGGGGGGTGGGGCAGAGTCGGGTGAGCTCCAGGGAGCGCTGGTCCCTGCGGTGGGTGAGGTTCTTGGGGAGCAGCGAGGGCGGGCAGGAAAAGATGGAGCCCAGGGGACAGGCAGAGGGGACAGGGTTGGGCGGTGCCCGCTTCCCTGGGTGCCCGAGATTTTCGACTGCCTGGAGCCCGGGACGGTTTTGATGGCCAGGGCCCCGGGCTGACCCGGGAGGGGTGCGCTGGGGGGCAGCTGCCAGGGCAGTCCGGGGAGGGCGGGGTGATGGGCTGGAAGCTGGAGCGGGACGGGGGCGGGGCGGGTTGTGGAAACCGCAGTCCACGAGGAATGGGTTGACGTTGGGGCTGACAGGAACGGGGTGCTGAGGACAGTGCGGTCAGTGAGGCAAGAGGACAGGCGGGGTAGATGTGGACAGCGACGGCCCCGAAGGAGGTGGGGCTGTGCGTCCGGATGGGGGCAGGGGAGGTTCCGGCCTCGTGGGGGAGTTAGGGGAGACCCCGAGAGGGCTGTCTGGCTCGGGGCGGCTGAACGTCCGGGCCTCTGTGCACCGCCTTCTCGTGAGGCCGGCGGCTGGCTCCGGCTTCTCCGCCTGGGCGGGGCTCTCCCTTGATTGGAACCATCTGGAGGATGGAGCCAGGAAGTCACATCTGGGCCCTGCACGGCAGCTGGGGGCTGACTGGCCACTTTTGGCCGAGTGCAGGGGTCACAGAGGTGGTGTTGCGGCCCCCGAGGCGGTGGGCAGATGCCGCGCCCCTCCCAAAGCCCAGGAGGGTCAGGCCACCCATGTGCGCAGTGACGAGACATTACCACCAGCGGAGCTCTGTGGGCATCCCACCTGGCCTGAGGCTGGACCTGGGGGGCAGGGGCATCCAGACTGACCTGGGCTTTGTGGCTGTGGGGGCCCCGGCCCCTCTCTTGGAGGTTGGTTGGGGAGCGCTTTGGAGAGAACGGGTTTTGAGGGGTGAATAGGAGCTCGTCACGTGGGCGGGGACAGCATGAGTAAAGGCCGTGGCTAGGGAACGGCCGGCGTGTTAGAGGCGGTGGCTGCAGTGGCCCATGAGAGAGGCAGAGGCCCGAGCCGGCCTGCAGGAATAGACATGCGGAAAGTTCTGGGACGTGGGCAGCCCAGGACCAACTGCCCATCTCCATCTGCCCCCAGACTACCGGCTAGGGCCCTGCTTCGGCCAGGTTGGCACTGAGGGGCGCTAGCGCCAGCTGACGGGCCTCTTCTGCACCAAGGCACTCTGCTGTGCCACCGTGGGCCGCGCGTGGGGCCTCCCCTGTGAGCTCTGCCCTGCACAGCCACACCCCTGCCGCCGTGGCTTCGTCCCCAATGTCCACACGGGGGCCTGCCAAGGTGAGCCGGCCGGGGGCGCCAGCGTGGGTACGGAGGTGGAGTCGGGGCGGGAGCCCTCTGACAGGCCTCCGTGCCTTTGCTGAGTGTCCTGCAGATGTGGACGAGTGCCAGGCTGTGCCAGGGCTGTGCCAGGGTGGTAGCTGTGCCAACACTGTGGGCTCCTTTGAGTGCCGCTGCCTGGCTGGACACCGCTTCAGTGAGAACAGTGCGAGCTGTGAAGGTGACGGGATGCGCTGGAGGCCTCGGCTCTGGGTGCCTCCGGGGCCCTCGGGGTGGAGGGGCCACGCTGGGGGAGCTACGCTGAGGTGCCACGCCGGGGGCCACACTGGGGGAGCCACGCTGAGGTGCCACGCTGGGGGCCACGCTGGGGGAGCCACGCTGGGGGGCCACGCTGGGGGGAGCCACGCTGGGGGCCACGCTGGGGGCCACGCTGGAGAGCCACGCCGGGGGCCACGCTGAGGAACCACGCTGAGGTGCCACACCGGGGGCCACGCTGGGGGGCCACACTGAGGTGCCACGTCAGGGCACATAATGGGGAGTCGCGCTGGGGGTCCTCGCTGGGGTTCCACGCTGGGGGTGCTAGTGCTGACTGGGCCTCCCTGCGCAGATGTGGACGAGTGTCTCCAGGTGCCCGGGCTCTGCTCCGGGGGAGGCTGCACCAACACGCCCGGGGGCTACGTGTGCACCTGTCCCCGCGCTTTCACCCGTAGCCGGGATGGCACCCGCTGCCTAGGTGAGCTGGGCCAGCCGAGGGGCGGAAGTGCTGGAGACCCCCACCGCCTTGGCCTTACCGCTGCATCCCGTGGCCTGAGGCGTCTCTGGCCTCCTTCCGTCTGTCCTGTGACATCTGGGCTCCCGCGCATCAGCCTCTATGCGTCCGCCCTGTCTGCAGGCCTCCGGCTCCCCAGCTCCGCGCCCTTATGTTCCCTGGTCCCCTAGTGCGGCCTCTTGGCTCCCCCGGCCCCCGCCCCCGCGCCCGCCCCGGGGCACAGGTGCCTTTCTGCGCCTGCCTCTGGCCTCCCACCCTGTCGCCGCCATCCATGGGCCCTGCCGCACTGCTCCCTGACCCCTCAGTGTCCCTCTTCCACTCCCAGAACCTCTAAGGTGGCCCATGTTCCGCCAGCCCGTGTTGGCGATAGGAAGCGGAGGCCCAGAGGGGAACAGTCAGCTCCACAGGCCGAGCGGGCCCCGCCCTGATCCCCGGACCTGCGCCCCCAGTCGGGATGGGTCTCTTGGCCTGTGCCTCCCCTGGATGCCGCCTGCCGTAACCCGCATCCAGCCTGGCCGGGGCCCTGGGCTCCGCCCCGTCCCCTGCTGTCTGGGTGGCTGCGTCCGTGGCCTTTGGAAGTAGCTGCTGGCCCACAGGCCAGCCGGGATCTGGCCCTTGGGGCGGACAGGCCGAGTCCTGCCTTGCTGACTGCCCGGCGCCTCCCGCCCCTCTGGCTGGCCCCGCCAGTGTTTTGGGTTCTGTCCGTGCGCTGTGGCCGCTGCCGGGGGCCAGTGTGGCCCGCATGTGGGGTAACTCTGGACTCATGCCCCAAACTGGGGGGGCTTCTCCCAGCTGCAGAACAGCAGTGCCGAGGGCAGTCGCCTCTGGCTTGGACTCAGTCCTGGGTCCGGACTGCCCGCCGAGCCTCTCGGAAACCCTGAGCTCAGGCGGGCAGCTAACTGGGCCTCAACTTACCCGCCTGTACCACAGGCCCGGTTATCCCTACACCAGAGAGCCAGGAGGGAGCCAGTCACGGGACCTGGGCAGGGCAGACTTGACCCGCACATGCCGGGCAGGAGCCAGCGCCAGCGCCCCGTGGCCCAGTGGGGAGCACCCCAGCCCCAGCCACGCGCTTTTGTTCAAGTCCCTGCACCCTTCTGTCTCCCTGCGTGGGCGGCAGCTGCCTCACCAGGCCCCGGGTTAGGGGCTCTAAGTCCCGCTTGCCCGTGAGGCTGTGAGCAGGTGTCCTGACGCCTTGTCTCTCGGCAGGCCCAGGCTCTCTCAGGGTCACCCACACACATCCGGGGGCCCCCAGGGGCATGGGTGGGGGGAAGAGGTGGAAATGTTTGTGTGATTTCTCCCCCGGGCAGGCGGGGGCGCTTCTCGCCCATGGCCACCGCTTGTGGGTTTTCATGTGCAAGTGGGCTGCTCGGGTCAGAGCCCGAGAGACCTGAGCAGCACATGAAGCCTTGGGCTTGCGGGCGCTGCGACGCGCAGAGTGGCTGGTGCTCACGCTGGCGCGTCTGTCCTCAGTCCACCGGTGTGCGCCGCTGGGCCCCACCCCCAGTTCCCAGCCTCCTGGGGCTCACAGTGCCCGGGCTGGCAGATGGACACACAGCCACAGAGCCTGGCATTCCCGCTTGCATGTCGGGGGCCCCGTCCCCACGGGCCTTCCTGAGTGTTGAATACCATGGCGACAGGGAGCTCACGCCGGTGCTAGCTCTGGGTGCCCGGACGCGCTCGCCCGGAATGAGGCCAGCTCAGCTCCCTGGAATGATGCGAACGTCTGGTACTAACCCAGCAGTGGGAGACGGGCGGCGCGCCAGCCACCCGGCACGCTGTCCTCTCCTCCAGGCGGCACTCTGCTGAGGCCGCGCGGGTGCTCAGAGCGTCCCTGCGCCGAGAGTGGGGAAACCGAGGCACAGAGCGGCGGACCTCTGTGCAGGCAGCTCCGGGCGCTGGGACCTGAGCGCAGTCTGTCACTGACTCCTCACCCCCGCAGACCACCGGCCCGGCGCCTGCTTCTCCGTGCTGATTGGCGGCCTCTGCGCCGACGCCTGGCCGGTCCCCACTCGCGCAGGCTGTGCTGCTGCCGCGGGGGCAGGTGCTGGGCGGCCGGCCCCGCTCCTGAGCCGTGTCCTCCCCGGGCTTCTGGTGAGCGGCCTGGGGTTTGCGGCCCCCCTGCCCGGAGCTCGGACCGCAGCGGGGCCCCGGCGGGACTGAGGCCTGGCCCCCCACTCTCCTCCTCGCGGATGAGCTCCGGCGGCTGTGTGCCCGGGAGCCCCCAGTGCGGCTCTCCTACCCCGGCCCCTCCGCCGGCCTCCCCGGCAACGGCGTGGGCCCTGGCCTGGGGCCGGCGCCACCCAGCCCCCGCGACGCCGGCGGGCGTGGGGGTCCCAGCTCGGGCCTCGGGGACGCTGGCATCGGTGAGGGCTGGGGCCTGGGAAGGCGCTGGGAGGCCAGGGGGCCCCAGTCTCAGAGGGAGGGTCAGGGCTAGGGTGGGGATCGAGGGCCGGGGTGGGGGAGCCGGGCCGCTTTGGACCTGAGTTCGGGCGTGTTCCGGGTAGGATTCCAAACAGGAGTTGGGGGTTCTCTGGGCCAGGTGGGAGGTCTCAACCCAGGGGGACCCTGAGTCTAGGAAAGGATTCCAGGCTGAAGTGGCAGCACGTGGCAGAGGGGTTCGGCCCAGCCTCAGTCTGGTGTCTGCACCCAGAAGCAGCCCAGCTTGGCCAGGTCAGGGCCTGCCGGTTCAGCACCCCTAACTCCGCCCACAGGCACAGCCGCCCTGAACCCCACCATCGACACCTGCCGGCTCTTCCCCAGCCTGTGTCTCAATGGCCGCTGCCTGCCCACCCCGTCCAGCTACCGCTGCGAGTGTAACCCCGGCAACACCCGGGACGCCCGGGGCCAGTGCATCGGTGAGTGGCAGTGGTGCCGGGGAGCGCACCCTGCAGCCTGGGGCTCGCGGGCCCTGCGTGGGACGAGTGTGCCGGCAGCCCCTGGCGCCACGGCCGCCGCGTCAGCACACCTGGTGTCTGGCTGCCGACGCCATGAGGGCGTCCAGGCGACGCTGCCCGACAGCGTGGGTGCAGCTGCCCGTTGCAGACAGGTGGCGGGGCCGGGCCCGGCCCCTGCGGTCTGAGTCAGCGCCTGGCCGGGGCGCCTGCGGGTCTCGCGCCTCCTTCCGCAGTCGTGGACGAGTGCTCCGGGAGCCATGGCCGCGGCCGCCGCGTCAACACGGAGGGCGGCTCCCGCTGTGTCTGCAGCGCGGGTTTCCGGCTCCGTCCTGACGGCCGGAGCTGTGAGGGTGACCGGGGAGCGGTCTGCCGAGCCAGCACCTAGCTGCCTTTCAGGGTCACCTTGCCCCCGCTTCCGCCCCGTCACCCTCCTAAGATGTGTCCCCGGCTCACCTCTCTGAGCCCAGCCAGGCGAGTGGGGGGACTCTGCTCTGTCCACTCCCAACTCTAATCTGTCATTGGCTCCTCTCTGAATTCACTTAATGAATTCATCAGGCTGTTTCCTGCTGGGCTGCAGCGCAGCCCGCCTCCTGCCCCCGCACAGCCAGAAAGGCAGATGTGGGATCAGCACCATGGAGAGCACCCCTCAGCGCTCATGGGGTGCGGTGTGCCACCAAGCTTCCTGCAGCAGTGGGGGCCGCCTCATTCTCCCTCCTCAGCCTGCCCTCGGCAGCAGCAGGGGTTTCGGATCCCCGAGGTCACTAAAAACCCTTCCTAGCATCTTTACTAGTCCACAACTCAGCCATGGAAGTAGCCGTTTTGCTTCAAGGGCTTTAGGCTGTTCACAGTGTTGGAAACATCTCTGCCGCCGGCTTCAGTGTCCTCACCACCCGGAAGGGGGCACCGTGCCCAGAGCAGTCACCCCGTCCCGGCTCCTGCGCCCTGCTGCAGGCCGGCCGCTCCCCTGGGCTTCCCGCCTGGCCGTCTTACTGGGGCGCGCACACCGTGGCCTGTGTCCGGAGGCCCCTTTCGGAGTCAGGCAACGTCCCGGGTGCGCCCCCTTTCCCCGGTGGTGGGTGTTTGCTTCCCTTTTTGGGTAACACTGCCGCGGCGTTCACGTTTACGCGTTCTGGCGTTTGGTCCGTTTTCCGCTCCTTTCGGGCTCAGTTCTGCATCCGACAGTTGTTAGGACAGAAGTGATACTTGGGTAGCCAGCGAATTTCTGCACTTGCCTTAAATCAGACTGTTTTCTGCCTTTATTTTATTAAGGTGAGATTCACACAAGGTGAATTTAATCATTTAAAAGGGAACAGGTCAGTGGCAGCGAGCCCCTCCCAGCGTGGTGCGGTTACCACCTCATGTATTCATGCTTTCTGCACGTCTTTTGTCATGGCAGAATAAACATAAGAAAACGCGCCAGTTCAGCCATTTTTAAGTGGCTCGTTCAGGAGAATTTAATACAGTGCTGTACACCGCATTCTCACTTATTAACTGGACAGATCTGTGTGGCTCCTACTGTGCGCAGGCCTGGGGTGTGCACGTGAGCTGACACCCAGGAGCATCCAGGGAGCTCGCGCCCAGCAGCAGCAAGGGCAGGCAGCGAGGGGTCTGGGGCTCTCACCCCCCCATCCCTGAGAGGGGCCTGGGGCTCTCACCCCCCCATCCCTGAGAGGGGCCTGGGGCTCTCACCCCCCCCATCCCTGAGAGGGGCCAGTGTGAGTGATTTCGGTTTATTAGCGTGTTACGGTGCCGCTTTTCCACGGTCCCAAACTGGGGACAGCTTTGCCCTCCAGGGGACATTTTCCTAAAAGTCGAGGTACTGGAGAGCCAGCGCGGACCTGGAATCTCACAGGTAGAGGCAGGGGTGGGGCTCAGCACCCCACAATGCAGGGCTGCCCCGTAGCATAGCGGCCCGGGCGCAGCACCCACAGCGCCAACTCCCGGGAACCGTGGGGTAGGGGAGAGGCAGCAGACTGCCGGGCTGTCCCCGCGGACCTGGCTCTGGAGGGCCAGGCGGCAGCCGGCACCCTCTCCCCGCTGCAGACATCAGCGAGTGTGCCCTGGACCCGACATCTGTGCTAACGGCTCCTGCGAGGACCTGCGGGGGGCTACCGCTGCATCGCGGCCTGGGCTATGTGGCGGGCGCTGCCGGCGTGGGGCGCAGGGGCGCGCG